CGATCTGGGCCAGGCTCAACTAATCTTGGCTGGGCTTACTCACACATGTATAGTTAGAGTTTTGGCCAGGGCTGGCCCGTTTATGATGGCCTTATCTGTGATAGCTGAGATGACTGGGTCTCTCTTCATGCTCTCATCCTCCAGCCAGTTGGCCCAAGCTTTTCACATGGCAGTCAAAGGTTCTACAAATACAACAGCAAAAGTCTCTTGAGGCCTAGGGTTGGAACTGCCGAAATCACTTCTGCCATATTCTTTTGGCCAAAGTAAGTCATGAGGCCTGCCAGCATTGAAGGAGTAGGAAAAAGAATTTCTCCTTTTAATAGGCAGAACTGCAAAGTATTGTGGCCATTTTTGCAACTTACCACAGCTTAGCTGCATCAAAATCAACTTGGAAGAGCATGGGAGATGCAGAGGGGAGAGAGAAGATAAAAGGATAAAGCCAATTTCTGAAAGGCTGTTGCTGCAGCTCTTCCCATGTCTAGCTTCTCATCCTTCAAGTCTTACTGCCTCAGAGAGGGCTTTCTTGATCAACTCTACTTTTTTTTTTTTTGCGGTACGCAGGCCTCTCACTGTTGTGGCCTCTCCCGTTGCAGAGCACAGGCTCTGGATGCTCAGGCTCAGTGGCCATGGCTCATGGGCCTAGCCGCTCCGCGGCATACGGGATCTTCCCGGACCGGGGCACGAACCCATGTCCCCTGCATCGGCAGGCAGACTCTCAACCACTGTGCCCCCAGGGAAGCCCAACTCTACTTTTTTATCACTTATCCTATCATGCTGTGTTTATTTTTCTCTAGCCCCTCTCACTCCTTGTACTATACTGATCTTGACTTGTTTGCTGTCTCCCACAATAGAATGTAAATTCTTATCTATCTTACTCATTACTGTGTGTCTTGTACTCAGTTTAGTACCTTGTACATATTAGGTACTTAGTAAATATTTACTGAATAAATGAGTAAATGAGTGAATGAATGAATGACAGCATCCTAAGAATTAAACATTTTCCCCAGCCTAAGAACCACCACTTGAATCAGTATGCTAATGTTTTAGTCCACCAAAGAAAATTAGTAGTGTAAGGCTCTTTATAAATATAAGTGATGCCCAGTACTGCCCAGCAAATTAAACATCAGAATACCTGGAAATGACTAGCTTGCCTTTTTTCCCCCTCCTCATTGTTTGATTGAATTAATTTCTCTTATGAGTTGTCACCACAGGCAACATTTTCACCTTCCCCTCCCCACTACCAAATTCTTAATTATTGAAAAGTATTGTATATGCAATTCATGATTACATTGTCTTGAATTTGTACACATATATTTTAATGTCATTTGCATTTCTAAATATATACAGGCTCAGAATTAATTGGATTAGGAAAGCTGGGTGTTTTGGTGCATATTATTAAAGTGGATAAGGCATAATTAAATTAAACCTAGTGGAAGAATAATATCAAATATGTAAAGGCAACAGCTTTGTCCACCCTGCCACCTATTAAAAAGAACAGAGCTAATACTATCCCCTTTAAGAGTGACTTACAGAACCTGTGATAAAAGAAGTTTCACAAATGTTTTTAGAACAATACATTTTCTTGGCATTTCATTCTAAAGGAAATGTTACAAACTGATTAAACTAGGGACTTTCTTAGAACCAACAAAAAAATCATGTCCATTTTTTAAAAAAAAAAAGAGATGTGCATTCAAATAATGAAACTTCACTTAGCGTAACGCCTGAGACATATTATATTTCATCCTATCTAAGACACCATCAATTATAAGATACATTATGTTCTACTGAGAAAGAGAAAACACTCCCAATATAAATTATATGATGCCATTGATAGTAAGAAATGTCCTGATTAAAATGGGAGACGAGTCGGGGGCTGTAGATCTCAGAATCAGTAAAATATGATGGTGGGTGCTCAGTAAATATTTGAATAATAGATGGATGGATGGATCGTGTCTTTGTCTGTTTGAGCTGTTATAACAAAAATACCACAGACTGGGTGGCTTATAAACAATGAAAGTTTATTTCTCACTGTTTTGGAGGCTGGAAGTCTGACATCAGGGTACCAGCATGGTTGGGTGAGGGCCCTCTTGCAATGCAGGCTTCTCCTTGTATCCTCACATAACAGAAGGGGCAGGCTAGCTCTCTGGGGCCTCTTTCAAGGGCACTAATCCCATTCATGAGGGCTCTGCCAGTCACCTCTTAAAGACCCCACTTCCTAATGCCATTACCTTGGGCATTAGGTTTTCAACATATGAATTTGGGGGGAACACAAATATGCAGACCATAGCAGATGGATAGATGAATGGATGGATGGATGGATGGATGGATGGATGGATACTTGACTCTTTGAGAGCAAGAACTCAGGTTTGCTCATGCATAGCCATCAAAGTAGCTTGCATGGTTCTTTCACATAGTGTTTAATAAATGTTTATGCAATTGAAACAATAGCATTAAAGGCAGGTTAACATAAAGATAAAGAAAAGAGAGCTGAGATGCCAAGTAAGCCAGGAAAGAGGAAGGGGAAATGAGAGAGAGCCTCAATTCCTTTGGTCTTTACAAGATCATTATACTGAAGGATGGGGAAAACTCCAGGATTCTTATTTGCTTCTAGGGAATAGACGATTCTCTTTTAACAGTTCAAATCTAGAGTCCCAGGATGTAACTTTTTCCCCAGAGCTTTCTATTGCCAAATATTTGAGCCCAAATTCTGAAACTGGACTTTGAAAATGATTTCATAGAATCATAATACTAGAGCTGGAAGGGACCATAAAAATTAAAATCCAGTCCCCTTGTTTTAGAGATTGACAAATTTATCTTTTCATTCACTCACTTATTCTTTCATTCCAGAAATATTTTCTGAGTGCCTAACATACAGTAGACACTGTGCTAAGATACAGAGAATTCAACACTGGGGGAGACAAAAAATTAAGCAGACAGGTCAATGGATGCATGCCATGATACGGAAGGACAGGGTGCCCAAAAGCACAGAGGAAGAGAACATGAATGAAGAAACCAAAGCCTGGAGCAAATTTGTACTATGACTTGCACAAATTATAGTTACTGACAGATATATTCGGGTCTTGGCTCAGTAGAGATATCCATAAGAAATACGATTATTTCTTATACTGATGTGTTCTGATAAATGTGATTGGTAAATCATACGTTTAGTCATAACTTTGATTTATTTACCAATATGTAATTGGTAAATCATACATTGCTACAATTTTCTCCTATCCAGTTGGCACCTACGTTATTCCAGACATTTTAGACAGCATTTGTTTCAAGACTGCTTCATGCTCATAAATCTCCAATGGCTTCTATTTTTTACCAAATAAAATGAAAGTCCTTAGCCTGGTATTCAAGACTGTTTGTAATATGGCCCCATCACATTTTTGCTAGTCCTAGCTTTTGGATGTTCCACTTCAGGTGTACCAAAGTAACTACTATTTCCTGGACACACCTTGGACACTCCCATCTCCATTGTTTGTTCATGTCATTCCCTCAGCCTATGATGCCTTCTGCACAGTGAATACTTTATCTTTTGTATGACCTTTATCATTTAAGCCCTCCTTCTTTAAACCATGAAGGCAGAGTGCCAAGGACATGGGAATTGGATTCAGGCTGCTGGCAGGTTGCCAGTACCAACTGCATGAATCTGAGTGTCACTAAATAGGTGCAGATATTAACAATACCTTCCTTACAGTGCTGTTGTGAAGACTGAGTAAGAAAAATCTTGTAAAACACTTAACATAATGCTGCATACAATTTCTATTATTCTAAACCCATCTAATTCTTTTCAGTGTTCCTTTTATCTCACCTATCACTTATTGTCTTACTGCTATTTACATCTACTCCTTTTTCTCAACAGTATTGTTAGGGAGCAAATGTATGGATAGGGTTTTTTGCTCATCTATCAATCTCCTATAATACCTGCCATACTACCATATGTATTGGCAGGTTTCAACCAAGTTCTTGAAAGGATAAGTGAAGAATAGAAGAGGTGGTTGGATGAATGGATGCATGATGTGATGAGGTCGAGGATGGTAGCGTTTGCACTTACTTTATGTCCACAAGGCAGACCGACTTTAGTAACAAGTGTGTGGTTCTCAAATAAGTTGGCAATATTTCTAGAGCAAATTTACATGTAAAAGAACTACCTGCATTTCTTCCTTAAACATTCTCTTCTCTTTGGGAAGGAGTGGATCCTTGCACATCAATCTAGTCAAGGCTTTTTAAAGAGAGAAGAGTTGTGTCCTAATAAGACACTTTGGAGAGCGTGTCTTCATTTCTCATTCATGGGGCTTATTTCTTTTATTTCTCCATGTGGTCTCTGAGGAGAACTGATGGAAGGTCACGATGAGGCCTAAGGAATGAGGCAGCAAGAGACAGGTCAGCTCCCATGCGTTCCAGACTGAGCATTTCATTTAACATTACGACCCAGAGAGAATCAGAGGCTTTGCTGGCCCCCTTCAGTTTGATTTAGAAAGAATTGGTCTGAAGTTCACCTCTGCAGAAAGGCCTGGGCTCAGCAGGCAGCCAGCTGTGTCTAGTCTTACTCCCTCTGCCTCATAAACATTAGGATGCTGTATATCCAATTCTGCCAATTACACAAACTGTCTCATGCAATAAGTACATACTGACAACATACAAGTGTACTTTTTTAAAATAATGGAGTATTTAGTTCTGCAGCTGGGATTTATCTGTCCTCCACAAAGCCACATGCCTATCATGCCTCTCCAAATGTGAGAAACAAGCCCTAACATTCTAAATTTATACATATGAAATATATATATTTATCTCCCAGTCTTCAGGTCTGTGATTGAAATAGCACTTGGAGTAGTGCTTTGAACAAAGTGGGCATTTCATAGATAGTTTTTAATGCATGTTGAATGAAATAAAATTTAGTTCGAAAGCTATTTTGTATGATATGTTCATTACTGTCAATAATGTTGTTCCTTTTCTCTCCAGAAAGCATTATACTACTTCTTAAAGGCAGCAAAAGCTGGGAGTGCAAATGCCATGGCATTTATAGGAAAGGTACAAGCTTCATCTTGACCGATATTTTTCATTTCTTAAAACCTAATAGTACCAGCTAATTGAACCCAGTGTAGGGTGACAGGGCTGCACACCTCTTTCGTGGAAGCAGCTAAGCGGGGCATTCGGCTACAAACTGAGAGTAGCATTCTTGAGGTGACAGTTTGGGAAGACGCCCCATACAATAGTGGTCTTTAGCCAGGGCACCAAAAGCCGTCTTGAAAGTGAATGTGGCCCAGGGCTCCTGGCTGAGTGTAGCTCAGAGCCCCTCTGTTGAGCACTTGGCAGGTAACAGGAGGTCTGGGCTACTTGTACATCAAAGATTGGGACAGACCTCCACCCATCGAGGTACCTCCTTCCTCCATCCCTGGAATGAGAACCAGCTCCAGACTGACCGAAACCCAGCTCCTCCCTGACTGATGGGAGGAGCTGTTGTGGAGTGTCCCTCTGGAGAGGCATCTTCTTCTCTCCTTTGAAGTCCACTCACACCCCTGTGTGCTGTCCTTGGCTCCCCGCAGCCAGTCTGCATCAGTAACCATGGGGACAAGTGCCCTGCTTCCAGAGGGCTACATACAGTAAATTTAGATGCAAGGAAACATGAAAAAACACAGATAGGATCCTTTTTTTTTGCCCTTGGGCAAGGGCACTCCAGAAGGTATGTAATAGATTGTATCCTTAGTTTTTCCATTTATAAAAATTGAGGTGAAATTCAAATAACATAAAATTAACCATTTTAAAGTGTACACTTCAGTGGCCTTTACTACACTCACAATGTGCAACCATCGCCTCTATGTAGTTCTCAAAGATTTTCATCCCCTCAAATTCCTTAGTTTTTACATCTTTTCATTTATTTTATTTTATTTTTTTGTAGATGTATTTAGAAGGGAATGTTGCAGCACCACAAAATAATGCTACCGCTTTCAAATACTTTTCTATGGCAGCTAATAAGGTATGTATTCAGCCCATTTCTGTAAAAAACACTTGCCTTTTATTACATGCAGACTGGTGCTGAAGAGTTAAGTCCAAAGCCCCATGCCAGACTAATGGGCCTGGGAGGAGTTTAGGGTCCTGGGGAAGAAAAATATCATTGACAATAAAATATGGGGTGGGGGTAGGCAGAGACGCGTCTCGCCTTCTTGGTAAATGGAAAATGGCAGTGCCTTGTGCTGTCCTAGCTGGAGGCCAGACAGAAGCTCAGCTCTCCCCTCCACCATGCAGTAGATGAGGCCATCTAGCTCAGGAAACAGGAAACAAAAATGAGGACCGAGGAAGGGAAAACTCAGCCAGTAACTGCAGTGAGTACAAAGACAACCAAGAAGTGCCCAGTTTTTTCTCCCTTGATCTTACCCAAAGGCTCTGGCTCAGGCAGAAGGTTGTCGGGCAGCCAGGACAATATGATTGAGAGCGTGGCGCTGGAGACAGAATTCCTGGTTTGAATGCCAGTCCTTCAATTTACTAGCTGTGTGACCATGGACAAGTTATTTAACTTCTCTGTGCCTCAATTTTCCTATCTATAAAATGAGAACATAGGAAAATTTGCCTCATATTGTTGTTGTCAGGATTTAATGAGTTAATAGTTATATGCTTCATATTGTAAAGTACCTAAAGCAGTGCCTGGCACATAGTAAGTGTTGTGTGTCAGCTATTATCTTTCGAAGTCTGGGGCCAGTAAGGTAGAATGAAGTTCATAGCATATCCGAGGCAGAATGGATTGGATCTGTGAGGAAATATAGAAATTGTGTAGTGTGGCTCCTGCCACTGAAGTTCTTGCCTTGGTTCCTAAGATCAGTGAGGCTGGTATCTGTCAGGTGAAATTTATCAGACTCCCCTAAACCACTGTAGTACATAAAGAACGTCCTCATGGCAACACTCACCAACCTAACGTTGGAGAACAGCCTTGATAAACTTTCTAATCCTGCACAGTAGGAAGCATTTTGTTGTCTTCCACTGTCTTACAGCAACACAGGCAGTAGAGATGTGCTCAAATGGAGAATGTTTTCAACTGTTCTCAGTTTTTAAAAGCCCACATGCTGCTTCAGGAGCCTATTTATAAATGACTAGCACCTCGGAGCTGCTGCTATTGTGGTTTAAATTACTGAGAAGGCTGGTCTTAGGCTGCGCTCCTCTCCCTTGTAATTTATATGAAATTGTTGCTCAGCAAGACAGTCATCCAGAGTACCATTAGATTAGGATGACAAGGAGAGCAGACTGAAAAAGAGGTGGTATAATGTAACAGAGGAGATCTCATGTGACTGGGCAGATAATGCTGATTTGTCAGCGCAAAGGAATAATGCCAGGGAGCTGAGTGTGTAAATTAACCCAGCTCCCCCAAGCTATTCAAGGGCTGTGTAACCAGTAGTGATCTGAGCTACTCGTGTTCTAAACCTGAGCTACCTTCCTTTATGGTCATTATTATGAATGGCATCAGGTGGACATAGCCATGTAATCCTTTACCATCTCCTGGACAGTTTATTAGATTCCTCACTTGGGATCACTATCAAAGTAAAGATTTTCTGCCTCCCGCTCTTGCACACCCATACTCTCCTTTTACAACTATTTTTTAAACTGTTGCTTTTTAAATTTGTTTTTAAGTCATATCAGTACCAGGATGCAAAGCTATATACTCTATGACTTCTTGTGTCTTACTCAGAAACATGAACAGTTATCCTCTGTGATGTTGGGCCCAAGTTGGACCATATTCTTCTGATTTCCTCTCTCACACCTCTGAACACATCAGGCCCATCCCCATCTTCACACTTCTGTCATTCCCCCCTTCCCAGAATCCCCCATTCTGAATACCCATCCCCCAGAGCAGAGCTCGATCCTCTCTCCCTCCACAAAGCCACCCCTACTCCCTTGGCACACATCTTTTCCCTCTTCTGAACTTGCCCTGTGTTCAGTCTGTGTACTGCTAGACACTTTACTGCTTCTGCCCTGTGCCTTCTCTCCTACTGTCTGAAGGCCATGTCTCTTCACCTAGAGGAGGCCAACGGTCTTAGTGCCTTGTAGGGGTTCATCAAATATTTGCCAAATATGACCATCTGGTCCCTAATTTCATGTCAGTTAACCTGAGCAAGAGCATTGAGCCCTAAGGCAGAAGTTATGTATGGGATGGTGGGGAGGGTTGCCTGCACATGTTTTGTTTGGCTCAGAAAGAGTTTTAAAAATTAGGAAATTTCATATCAAAATCTGCATGTCCAGCTTTTCTTGGAAAATGAGAAGAGCTGTCCACATGAGGCGGCCTTTCCACATGATGACAGCTGGCTGCAGCAGAGAGCCGGGGAGGTGCTGCTGCCTTTGGACAGGGCAGGTGCTCTCTGGTTCGCCTCAGTCTCCACCACTCCCCCATCACCGGGCTTAATGTACTTCTTACATTACTTGCATGGCTCTGGAGGTATCTGAGTTGGCCACTCCTGAGCTGAACATCCTAAACAGGTACTCTGGGCCTTAAACAGTTGGTGAGTCATCCAATGAGACCCTGGTTTCCTAAGGATTCTCTTAAAGAAAGAAATGTGTCCCTAGTATTCTAACCTTTCTCCTCCTTCTCCCTTCCTCTTTCCTTCCTCTCATTTCCCTTCCCTCCCATTTTTTCTCATCATCTAAATGAAGATAGTTAAAAGGAGACAGACTCACTAGACTTTACCACATGGATCACACCAGGCCTTACTATTCCCGGAGCAGTCTATCCTAAAACTCCTGGAACCACAGGTAGTAGTCAGGGGAGAAGAGAGAAGAGGATAGTAGACATATACCAGTTGTTTTAAATACAGGTGGACCGTCCTCAAGAATTCTTACAATAGCTGGCCCTTTGACATGCATAGGCTCAAAGTCTGGAGTCTTGAAATAGTTGTTGAACTATGCCTTCTCTAGTTATGTGCTATTCCTGTATCACCGAGGAATATTCTGGTTGCATCAGCAATAATTACATTTCAATTATTAAATTATTAAAACGAATTACAAATAAATACATTTAAGTGGTAAAGAGAAATTTGGAGAGTTTTCTATCAGAACTTAAGTCCCTGAGGAAATACTATAAACCTTACAAGCAGTAACAGTGCTTTACCATCCATAACAGCTAGATTGAAATTCATAGAGTCTCCAAATGTTATTTGGCCATTTATGTCAACCTCCTTTGACCAAAGCAGGTAACAAGTGTCTAGATAGACTTCTCCCTTCTGAAAAACTCCTACACATCCTTTAAGACCCAGCTCAAATTTCAACACCTCCGACAACTCAATCTGCCCAGTCCCTAGTCTCACCTACCGTCACCTAGCCTCCCTCTTCTAGGTGCCCACAACACTCTTTATCTGTTTCTACTATAGGACTTACCACATTTGACATGATTAAGAGGTCCTACCTAGTGGCTCAGAGCCCAGGAGTCTATAAGGCAGGGATCATGGTTTATTGATCTTTTGACTTGCATCTCCTACCTCTGCCCAATGCCTGTTACGGAGTCACACACAAAGCAAGCACTAAATAAATGCTGAATGAAAGACTGGAGGAAAGATTTGACTTTCATCTCCCTCTTTCCTAGTCAGAGGTGGGTTATGAACGTGTGAAAGGAGAAACTAGAGAGGGTCAGAATAACACCAACTGCCTGATTCACCTGCCTTAGTTCATCTCCTACCGGCTGCGTTTCAAATATTGTGAATAATTTTGCAATACTTTTCCGTATGGTGAATTCTTCTGGGACTTTACTTGGATTTTTAAACCTGTTCCAGGGCAATGCCATTGGTCTTCATGGGCTCGGTCTTCTTTACTTTTATGGGAAAGGAGTTCCTGTGGTAAGTTAAATAATTTTCTTATCTTTTTCAACATTTCTAGCAATTTATTAGGGTGAAATTCATGATCACTGATTAATCTAAACGAATTAGTCTCTATTACGTGGTTTGCCAAGGTATCATATCTGGTAATAGAGAATAAAATAATTCAGTGAAATATTTGCCAAAGAGACATAGAACAAGCTTGTGACAAGAATAACAGCCCTAATTATATCTTATATTAACAGATTCTAAGTAACCTTAGAAATCATCTAAGCCGTGAGGATTTTTTTTCATAGAGAAATTTATCTTCTGACTTTAACTTCTGTCTTTTGAGTGACCTTCCCCCAATATCTAACAAAACCTACTGTCAATGTAGGAAAAGACATAATTTACAATGAAAATAAGATAATTATTTCTTAATAGAATCTAATATAATAATGAAATAAAATGTATAATTCTTCTGATACTACTTTAATTAGCCTAAATCACATAGGGCACTAACTATGCTCTTAAAAAAAGTGGAAGGCAATTGTTACCATGGAGTTATGCATGTACCTTTGAGTAACAAAGTGTAATTATCTTGCAGAATTATGCAGAAGCACTTAAATACTTTCAGAAAGCTGCAGAAAAGGGATGGCCAAACGCACAGTTTCAGTTAGGCTTCATGTACTACTGTAAGTGCTACACATATGGCTGCTTTACTTAGAATGATAAATGCAAAATCTGCTCCTTTTTTAAGACAAATCAAAGGATTGGTGTAAGTGGTTTAGATAGAACATTCAGGCAGCAATTTGAGGAGGAATTTGAGGAAGACAGGAGGAAAAGGACATTTGGGGGAGAAGGCAATGAGGTGCAATCAGAAAGCTCACCTTTGAAAATTTTAAGTTTGAAGTGCCTTGCGACACCCAGCGCACAACCCAGAAACAAGTATTAAACTCACAAGAAAGGTAAAACTTGGAGAGAAAGATTTGGGGAGACATCAACATACAGGCATTAGTAAGAGTAACTGAGGTTGCAGAGGGAAAGGAGACAGAGTGTGAGAGGAAGGAGAGTGGGCCATGGTGAGAAATCTGGTGATCCTTGGTGCCATATTGAAAAGATGGGCAGAGAATGAGTGGTCACAAGAAGACTGAAAAAGCATGGTCATTTGATTTGGAATTGTAGTATTATCTGGCCCAAGATAGGTGGTGCTCCTTATTTTGGTTCAGATAATACTATAATTCCAAATCAAATAACACAGTCCAATGGCATCAGCTCAATGGTTGCAATATATGCCATTGTTTAATCTATAGTCCTCATTGATCTTTGATCAAGATAAAAAATGATGTAACTATCCTTATTAAATTGATTAATACTTTGCATCACAATTATGGCTAGGACTAATACTGTAGCACTATTCCCATAAAAATGATTCCATAAAAACATCCGAGTTTCAGATCAAAGTGAAGCGTTAATTCTCAAGTGGTACTAAGGGTTAATTAAGAGTCTTATTCCAAAACAGTGGTTCATATACATTTTGGTTCTTATACATACCTTTGTGAATCTGATGAAATATAAACCTTCCCCTTCAGATATGTGTGTAAGGACACATGTACACACCCCCCTCAAAAAAATGTTGATACATTTCAGAAACTTACATTCCCTGAAGCCTATCCATGAATTCCAGGTAAAGAATCCCTTCTCTGAATATTTTCTCAGCTTCAGAAAGATTTGAGAATAATCACAATAGTTTGGTCTTAAAATAACCAAAAGTTGTCCAGGGGCAATGATTCAATGCTCTATTCCTAGTGGGTTTTCTTTTATTTTTGAGAAATTTATTTTCTCCAAATTGGCTCGTGTCTATTAGAAGAATATCTAAGATGTATACAGCATTGTTTGATTTTCAGAGCACTGGCATATGATGCCATATGACTTACCTTGGGGCTTTTGCATAATATACATCAGTTGAATTACATTTTAAACTCATGCGATCTTCTCAACAATTCTAGAAGTTTTCAACCTCATTAATGGATAGGAACCTCAAATACAGAGATATCCATGATGAGTTGGCTAGTCAGCATGAGATTGAAAAAGAGACTCAGAATGCTTGCTCTGGTACCAGTCCCTTTTCTTTGGGCTATGTTGCCAACCAATATTTTAAATAAATAAATAGGAACAACAATAATAAAATAGTTATTATTTGCTGAGCAGTTCTAAACGTTGAGCTAAAAATTGCTAAAAAACCATGAATTTCAAACCAGAATTTTAAATGTGGATTTACACTGAATGATGATCTTTAACAAACAACGTGAACATATTCTTCATCATCTGGTGATTGTCCTAACACTGAGTATTGCTACTCCATTTTAGTGTTCAAGCTTGCATTCATGCCTGCCATTGTGAAAGCCAAATAATTCCATGGCATCCCACAGCAAGAGAGGTTTCTGGCAGTTCAAATATAAAAATGTAATGAGAGATCTGTGTTCACAGGGCACATAGTGGTTTGAGAAATCTGCTCAATAAATACTTGTTGTTGATTGAATACTTAGTTTCGAAAATAATATTTAACTTTTCTTCCAGAATACCAATTTAGCAGGAAATATTATCATAAGTATAAAGAAATCGTTTCCACTCCCAGAAATAAATGGATTAAATTCCCATTTAATGCAGATTTTAATTCCCTAAAAACACTAACCTTCATGCTAATCTTTAGCAATTAATGAAAATTGGCATGTAAGAATTTCTTGCTGGAAGAATTTTGATAAATTATGAGACTAACCTGAGCTATCAAACAAATCCTTGGAGTTTTAAATTTCATTTTGTACGGCATATTTCTGCGAGTAAACCTTTTTTCACATTAGAAACAGTGAAGCCAAAATGCTGAAAATTATGGAGGCTGACATGAAGCCTCATCATATTAATATTAAATTCAACATCAGTGATTTATTGTCACAAACAACATTATCTGTCGTGTTAAACAAATGCTGTTAACTTATACTATGTTTTTATTTGATTTGTGTGTCCATTTTGATTTTTAAATATTTATTGTTGAATAAGGCCTGCAAGTGTGAACAACTTATTTCTAAATTTAGGTTTATATGTTTGAATAATATTATAATAAAATTTTAAATCAAAAAAAAAAAGCATGGTCAGAGGAATGGGGTGAGGAGGAAGTGACCTTAAGTAGGACAAGGGATAGAACTTTCAAGAAAGAGTAAATGAATGAGCACCCCCTTTGAAATTCAGTGAAAGGCCTAGTTCTCACTTTTCAAAAAAAAAAAAAAAGTAAGAAAGGGCCAAGTATCTGTGGGACTTGTCGATAAGGAGGATTTTGTGAGGTCATTGAACTGGTTGGGATGGAAGCCAGATACAGTGGGTTGAGGTGTAAATGGAAGGTGAGGAAGTAGATGAGGAAAAATATTCTTGGAAATGATGTGCCTTTAAATGGAGGAGAGAAGGGCGATAGTAGCATGAGGGGGACTGAGAATCAAGAGGGAGTTGTTTTTAAGATGGTGAGAGACCTGAGTATAATTTTTGGCAGAAAAAAGAGAGCCAGCCAGTGGAGGTGGTTAATGTGTCATGGGAGAGATAAGATAACTGATGAAGAGGTTCTGGGAATATTTAGGTAGCATTTCTGATCTAATCTGACCAGTGGCAAATCTGAAAGTATCTGATCAGGTCCAGGTAGGTGGGGGACTCATTAGCTTTGATGAAGAGGAGGGATTTCTCACCCTCAAAGACTGGAGAGATGGTGGAATAGATGGTACAGTTGTAAATCTGGGGAGAGAGGCAAGTGAGGAAAGATAACGTGAGGGTTCCCTCCATGAGCTCAGAGGTACAAAGTCATCTTCTGAGAGCGAAGGTAGAGTGGTTGGGGTAGGTGGTCTCAGAAAGCCATGAAGGTTTGTAATAATCTTTGTGGGGACTGAGAGAGAGAGAGTGGCCAAGACACGTGTCAGGAGATCTGAGCACATCTGAGTAACCCTGCTGAGTCCTTCCTGTCAGGTGGAGCAAGGGCAGCAGCAGACTGCATCATCAAGAAGACAGGTCTGGTGGCTTCCCTGGTGGTGCAGTGGTTGAGAGTCCGCTTGCCGATGCAGGGGACACAGGTTCGTGCCCCGGTCCGGGAAGATCACACATGCCGCGGAGCGGCTGGACCCGTGAGCCATGGCCACTGAGCCTGCGTGTCTGGAGCCTGTGCTCCACAACGGGAGAGGCCACAACAGTGAGAGGCCCACATACCACAAAAAAAAAAAAAAAAAAAAAAAAAAAAAGACAGGTCTGGCCAAGAGGTCAGCTGGCATTTTCCACAATAGCCCAGGTGGAGGGCCTGTTCTCTATGGTTTTGGGAGGTTGCCTAAGATAGCCTTGTTCTTCTAGTTTATTCCAAGTCCCAGGTCCAGGGTCTATCAGATTCTTCAAGCATCTAGAATAAGAGTAATAGTTATGGCTAATGTTTAAGTCTTTACATGTATTTACTCATTTAGCCCTCTCAACACATCTAGGGGGTAGCCCACCATTTCTAGATGAGCAAACTGAGCCACATCAAGGTCAAACATCTTACACAAGATCACACACTTGGTGGAGCTGGGACTCAAACCCAAGTTACCTGCCTCGAGAGCCTTTGCTCTTAGCAGCAACATGGCACTGCTTCTAAAGGCTAAGAAATGTTAGAGCTGGAAGGCAGTTTCAGAACCACCTAGTGAAGGCCCTTCCTTTTGCAAATGAAGTGCCTATGGGTGCCCAGGTCACAAAAGGAGTAATGGGAGAGCCAGGACAAGAATCCCAGCTGCTGGGAGTAGCTGATTCTCCATCCTAGCTCCAAATGCCTCTCCTTGCTCCAAGCAATGAGCTGAGTCTGAGCTGGGCCTCCTGGAGCTGGGATTTACCGGCTCCAAACTCCATAGTTATGGCTGGGAGGAGCTATACTGGTCTCCTGGTATGGAAGGATGACAGGGATGGTGACACACATCATGGAGGGCCTTCTGGTCCTCAGAGACTACCACTTGGTCTCCTTTTCATTAATTGCAGTTATACCATATTGAGGAGATGTTTTCATGAGACTAAACAGTCCATCTCCTTCAGTTTTCTGAATGGGTCGAGAACATACATTTCCATGTTCTTACTTATAATCTAACTCAACTATTTTTCCCCCAAATAGTAGGTCTAGGGTAGCTTGACTTTTGGTTGGCTTTTCTTATCCTATCTAAAATAGCAGGAATCACTATGAGCATTACCTCCATAGATTATAATGTAAAAAATAATGTAAATAAGGGGTGGCTCAAAATAATTTTAATTTTCAGCTGGCTCTGGAGTATGGAAGGATTATAAACTTGCCTTCAAATATTTTTACTTGGCATCTCAGAGTGGGCAGCCCCTCGCCATTTATTACCTGGCCAAGATGTACGCCACAGGAACAGGAGTGTTAAGATCATGCAGAACTGCTGTGGAGGTAAATCACGGGCTATTTCTAAAGCACTTTTCATTTATCACAGAGAGGAGGTGATACTGTCCTTAGATTGTTGGTGTCTTTGATTTTATAGATATTATCTTGTTTCTTCCAGCTGACAATGTGAACACTGACATTTGCCAGGGAGGAAAAGCAGTGATGTAACTCAGACTGGGAAAGGGAGGAAAAGAAACGATCCCTCCTGTCTTGCATCTGGCTTTTCATCAAGTTCAGAGCTCGCCTCAGAATTCAGTTATGGAGCTCTGTTTCAGCTTTCAATCAAATCTCCAGGGCAATTCGGCACTTCTAGTAGGATTGGGAGTTGCGACTTGGGGCATGAAAGGCTTGATTTAGCCTAGAAAACGTAGCCCACTTCTTCCCAGAAAGCCAGGTCCTTAGGTTTTTCTGATGATTTGGATGACAATTGAGAAAGTGAATTCTTTCAGCCTGGGATAGTGATGCAGTTTTCAAAAGAATGCTTTTAGGACCTTAATGTCCTTCATTGATTTATTAAACACTTCCCCTGCACCAATATAAATACCTTCATGTTGCAACCTGGCCCCTCTGAAATTCGTTTCAAAACCTGCCAGCTAATAATCTATCTTTAGATTTGCTCCTTTGCCAACTCCTAATGAATTATGTATGGTTAACCTCTTTTGGTTACATAAGGGCTATTCAACTAAGTTGCCGGTTGTCCCCACAGAGCTCCGCACACCTCCCTCATGGTTATGTCACCTACACCCTCAGGCACCGTCTTCCCTTCATTCTCTCTTGTCCACATCAGCTGCAGCCTTATAACGCACCCTTGCAGGGCAGCAGCGTCCAGAAAATCCCTTTTATTAAAAAACAGAAGTCGATACATTCTGTTGTCCTGCCAAATAGCCCCCAAGTCAGAAAAGTTCATTTACACATATTTAAAAGAAGCCTCAGGAAGTGTAAGCTCAAGACAAAAAAAAAAAAAAAAAAAAAAAAAGAAAATTATTCTGACGCTTGTTAAAAGGGTAAAGAAGACGTTATTTGAGACAATTGCAATAGGAGGGAGAGATGGGGCTCAACTCCAAGTACAAGGAGGAAGCCGGGGATTTGCTGCCGAGGAGCAGAGTGAGGGCTCAGTGGATGGAAAACTACTAGGAGACATCAAGGCAATCAAGACAAAAAAAAAAAAAAAAAAAATACACACCTGTAATCTTCATGCCTATGAAGGGTATTAACACCTCACCCTAAATAATTTTCAAAAGCCATGCTTTAGACCTAAAATCCCTGCCTGACCAGCCAGCAGGAACTGAAGACTGAGGTTATTTATCGTTTACCTGGAATGAAGTGTATTGGCTAACTAGTCTGCTTGATTTCTCTTTGTATACACAGCTTTATAAAGGTGTCTGTGAACTAGGCCACTGGGCTGAGAAATTCCTGACAGCATACTTGGCCTATAAGAATGGTGATATAGATTCTTCTCTTGTTCAATATGCACTGCTTGCAGAAATGGGTTATGAAGTAGCTCAAAGCAATTCAGCATTCATTTTGGAATCTAGTAAGATAAGTTAAAATTCTCTGCAATTCCCCAATCATACATATGCATATATGACTTTACTGTAGGGGTATTTTAAGCCTTCCTAATGGAATGTCTCCTTTTTTTTTTCTTTAGAAAAAGCTAAAATCCTTGAAAAAGAGAAGATGTATCCAATGGCACTCCTCCTGTGGAATCGAGCTGCCATTCAAGGTACAGAACTTAGATAAAAATGAGCACTACTTGGCCCCTGTCCACTATTATTCATCTGATTTGCTCCAGCTGAGTTCTTGGGCACATAGGCAGAAAGGTGCAGAATATGGAGCAGGTGGTATTTCAAACTGATGTTAGGGTCAGTCTTTGGTTAGAGGTCATTTCCAGGAACTTCTTTTGTTATTCTCAGGGTCTCCAGTTTAGCAAACCATAGGAATTTTTCTATGGCTCTGTCTCCATGGCACCAGAACGGTTGTTTGAAACATGGCAGTTTTACTCAAGAAATCAGTTTTCTTGGTCTGGCTTCAGTCGCTCATTTGCTGAGTTTTTCTAAACTTATCAGAGATATGACCTATGTTTCAATGAGTTTATATAGGTTAAATTACTTATGGCTCTAAGACTTGTTTGATTTTTCTTTTAGAATATCACATTGAGGATTACCACAAGCTTCAGATCTTTATTATAACCGTTAGCATGGTAGCATCAAGGGAAAAAAAGAAGAATTAATTAGCAAGATCCTCCCCCCTCCATAGGGAGCGCTGGTGGGAAAGCAGTGGCAGGTGGCATTTGCATCACTATGTCTCATTCCATTCTTTCC